TTTGCTCTTGTGGCCCAGGCTGGAGTGCAATGAGGTGATTTCAGCTCACTGAAACCTCCGCCTCCCGGGTTCAAGCGATTCTCCTGCCTCAGCCTCCTGAGTAGCTGGGATTATAGGGATTTGCCACCACGCCCAGCTAATTTTGTATTTTTAGTAGAGACAGAGTTTCTCCATGTTAGTCAGGGTGGTCTTGAACTCCCGACCTCAGGTGATCTGCCTGCCTTGGCCTCCCAAAGTGCTGGGATTACAGGCGTGGGCCACTGCGCGTGGCCTTGATATAAGTTTGTATCATTTCCTTATGAACTCAAAGATTTGCAGTCTATTTAACTACAGGTCATAGGTAATTAAATTCAAATTAACAAAATATAATGACTGACTAAACATGATAATATTTCATTTTATTTCAGAGTTTTCTTGGAGGCTTTTTTGGTCCAATTTGTGAGATCGATATTGTTCTTAATGATGGGGAAACCAGGAAAATGGCCGAAATGAAAACTGAAGATGGCAAAGTAGAAAAACACTATCTCTTCTATGATGGAGAATCTGTTTCAGGAAAGGTAAATCTTTTGTTTGACAAAACTGTCTACTTATAGGATATCAGAATTAGTTATCAAAGTGGTCCTTGCTGTTTGTTAAATTTGAGTAATTTTGTGAGAGCGAGTTATTTTTTTCCCAAAGGTCAGCTAAAATCTTTGATTGATTAGAACATAATCTTTCCTGCAAAGGAAAGATTTTTACCCTGGAAAGCTTTCAGGGGAAGAGTCTCTAAATTTCATGCAAATTTTTCTGTTTAAGCCTCCTGTGTGGTTCATGAAAAAAATTTTTTTTCCTGTTTGTGATTATGTGCTTCTGTCTGGTTTCAGACAGTTTCTCTAGATCGGAGCTATAATTTACCCAAAGTTTATTTTTCCTTTAACATAAAGTTAGCAATTGGGAGTAAAGGTGTCTTTCTCATTCTTCGTAGCTTACCTCTCTGTACTGCTAGTATTGTGTCTGTTGATCGCATTTCTAGGTACTCTGTAGAGGACTTGAGTACTTTTGGAATGTGTCTATGCATGGTCAGACATGTTTATAATGCCTTCTATAAGGTTTCACTTTTTTCCCCTTTTCTTTATCAAGTGATGTATAAGGTTTTTTGTTTTTGGGGTTTTGTTTTGTTTGGAAATACGGTCTCACTCTGTTGCTCAAGCTGAGTGCAGTGGTATGATCATGGCTTACTGCAGCCTTGTACTCCTGGGCTCAGGTGATTCTCCTACCTCAGCCTCCCTGGTAGCTGGGACTCCAGGTACACACCACCACCTGAGCTAATTTATATATATATTTTTTGTAGAGATGGGGTTTCTTCATGTTGCCCAGACTGGTCTTGAACTTCTGGGCTCAAGCAATCCACCCACCTAGGCCTACAAAAGTGCTGGGATTATAGGTTTGGGCCATCACACCTGGCTGATTATTCTTTTAATTTAGGGAATATGATCAATAGCTGTTAGTGGTCAGTGATAGTGGAGAATAGTAATATCATAGACAAAAGCAAGCCACAAAACATTTGAAATAATTTTTTAAATATCGAATACTAGGATTTTTCTCCCCTGCTTGTTTAATTAATATGTTTATGTGATAGACAGTTTGGGAAATAATATCTATATCGTCTTTTCATATAGAAATAATTCACTGTTAAATTTTGGGTGTGTTTCTTCTTAATCTCTGCATTAATTAATGTTTATATGTAATATAGTAAGCATACCTTTTCCTCTATTGTTGGATATTTAAGTAGTTTCTGTTTTTCAGATGCCTTTCTTCATATCTTTTATAATACGGACATCTGTATACATAAGTTTTTCTCTATAAATTTCTGTAGGACAGCATTATTTCCTGAGAACAGATTCCTGAAAGTGAGCTGCTAGGCCAAAATATGTGTAATATCTGAAGGATCTTAATACACATTAACCTGGAAAATGTATTTGCATTAAATTACATGTCCGTTTTTGGATCTTTTTCACCCAAGACAGCATTGAATATGATCGCTTTGTCGGGTTTGCTATTTTGATAGGGAGGAACAGTCTCACTATTTTAATTTGCATTTCTTTGGTTACTAGATAGATTGGACTTAGATTTATTTACCAGCCATTTGAGGTTTTTTTTTTTTTTCTTTACTTGTACTGCATTGTCTCTTCTGCCAGATTACCTATTGGGGTCTTAGTGTTGAATCTGAAGTGAATTTTTTGGTTTTCAACTTTACTTCCCTTGTACTCGTCCTTTTAAAAGATGGCAAAAGAAAAAGGCCAAGTGTGGTGGCTCACACCTTTAATCCCAGCACCAGCACGTTGGGAGGCAGAAGAGGGAGGATCACTTGAGCCCAGGAGTTCGAGACTATCCTGGACAACATGGGGAGACTTCATCTCTATTTGGGAAAAAAAAAAGATGGAGAAAAAGAGAGACCTAAAGAAGATCAGACAATCATCAAAAGGATGGAGCATGTCAAATGAAAGAAGAGTAAAAGTAGTAGTGTTTGGCCTATTGAAACAACTTGTTAATGGGTTGAGGGTTTAGGAATACCAATCTAGTTTTCTTTCTAGGGAGACTGAACCTAATATCTCAGATATTTCATTTATAGATATGACATGTAAATATCTCTTCTGCTAAGTTGTAAGCTCCTTAAGATTAGAGGATCAGAGTGTGCTTCTTTATTTTCCATAAAATACATCATAGTGTTGATTATATAATAGGCTTTTACTAAATATTTATTTGGTTTGGCCGGGCGTGGTGGCTTACGCCTGTAATCCCAGCACTTTGGGAGGTGGAGGCGGACAGATCACAGGTCAGGAGTTCAAGACCAGCCTGGCCAACTTAATGAAACCTTGTGTCTACTAAAAATACAAAAATTAGTCTGGTAAGATGGCACATGCCTGTAGTCCCAGCTACTCAGGAGGCTGAGGCAGGAGAATCACTTGAACCTGGGAGGTGGAGGTTGCAGTGAACTGAGACTGTGCCATTGCACTCCAGCCTGGGTGACAGAGCAAGTGTGTGCGCTGTGGGTGGCCGGGGGGTGAGTGGTTTATGAACAGAAAATATGAAGAAAAAAAAAAAAAAAAAAAAAAAAAAAAAAAAAAAAAAATTATTTCGTTTATTTTGTTGTTGTTGTTGTTGTTGTTTTTTGAGATGGAGCCTTGTATTGTTGCCTGGGCTGGAGTGCAGTGATGTGATCTGGGCTCGCTGCAACCTCCATCTCCTGGGTTCAAGCGATTCTCCTGCCTCAGCCTCCTGAGTAGCTGGGATTACAGGTGCTCACCACCACACCCAGCTAACTTTTTGTATTTTTTTTAGTAGAGATGGGGTTTCACTATATTGGCCAGGCTGATCTTGAAACCCTGACCTGGTGATCCACCCGCCTCGGCCTCTCAAAGTGCTGGGATTCCAGGCATGGGCCACAGCACCTAGCCTATTTACTGTTTTTAAGTTTTACAGAAAATATTCTCAGTCTAGTTTATTTTTATTTATTTATTTATTTTAAGACAGGGTTTCACCATGTTGGCCAGGCTGGTCTTGAACTCCTGACCTCAGGTGATCCCCCGCCTCGGCCTCCCAAAGTGCTTAGATTACAGGCGTGAGCCACTGCGCCCGGCCTCAGTCTAGTTTAAAGTAATTTTATGTCATTTGGACCAATTGAATGTTCATGGCTGATGTTTATGGGATAAAGGAAAAGGGATATTTAAGCTAGAAATAGAGTTACTCCAGTGTGTTTTTAAAAAAGAATAGTTGGTGTTCAAATTACATTTTGGTCCTGGGTGTGGTGGCTCACGCCTATAGTCGCAGCACTTTGGGAGGCCAAGGAGGGAGGATTGTCAAGCCCAAGAGTTCAAGACCAGATTGAGCAACATAGCAAGATCCCATCTCTACCACTAAATAAATAATTTTTTGAAAAATTACATTTTGGAATTGCTAGAAATCATACATAGACCTGATCAACTATAGATCACATTTTTAAAATGATAAGATCTCTTATAGGTAAGTATTTTCTGTTCAAAAGTTACTGTATCTTGAATCTGATTGTTTATTGGTCTGAGATTTTTTTCATTTTTAATGTTTATTGAAAAACAAAACACATCTAGAAAATCATACACAACAAAAATAAGTTATTATAAGGCATATTTTCTTATAATCACCATCCAAGTCAAGAAGTAGTACTTTGCCAGCTACCCCATGTGTCCTGTCTCCATCACACTCCCATCCCCTCAAAAGTAACCACTGTACTGACTTTTATAGTAGTAAACTTTCTTGTGTTTCTTGTTTAGTTTTGCTCATTTAAGAAAAATTTGTTAGGCTGGGTGAGGTGGCTTATGCCTGTAATCCCAGCACTTTGGGAGGCCAAGGCAGGCGGATCACCTGAAGTGGGGGGTTCGAGACCAGCCTGACCAACATGGAGAAACCCCGTCTCTACTAAAAATACAAAAAAATTAGCCAGACCTGGTGGCGCATGCCTATAATCCCAGCTACTGAGGAGGCTGAGGCAGGAGAATCGATTGAACCCAGGAAGTGGAGGTTGTGGTGAGCTGAGATTGAACCATTGCCCTCCAGCCTGAGCAACAAGAGCAAAACTCCGTCTCAAAAAAAAAAAAAAAAAAAAAAAAAAAAAAAAAAAAAAAAAAAAAAAAAAAAAAAAAAAAAAAAAAGGAAGAAAAACTTGATATGGTTTTTAAACCTCTCTTAATCTCAGGTTCCCTCTTCATACCTTTCTTTAATTTATAATATCTGTTGAAGAGCACGTTGGTCATTTGAATTGTAGAGTTTTCTATGTTTGTGTATTCATGGTACAGTTATTGCCTGTAAGTTGGCAGCTAGGTCCAGAGGCTTGAATCACACTCAAGTTTGATTCTTCTGGCAGGAATATAGGTGGTGGTATCTTTTTTCATTGTGGGTGCAAAATGTCTGGTTTTCTTTCTCTGTCTTTTTTCTTTTTTGCAACTGTTGATACTCAGTACCTAGATTGATTTAACTCATTGGAGGTTGCAGAATGGTGATATTTTAAATTCTGTCATTTTGTTTTTACTTATTAGATGGAATACATTTATAAAGAGACATTATTTATTTCTTGTTTTGTTACCTAGTGGTACAGCTCATATAGAAAAAAAAATGCTTGACCCTTTTCCTTTTTTGGCCTATCTTAAAAAATAATAAATTGTTTCCTTATCCTCCAAAGGTGTAAACCATTGGTTTTATTTCTCAATAACATTTATAAGCTCATGATTTAAACATACTTGATGCTTATAAATATTACCCTGTTGAAGCTCCAGTTGTACCATCCTGTATAACAAGTTACTACAAACTTAGCAGCCTAAAATAAGGAATTTATGTCTTAGGATTTTTGTGAGTTAGAAATCCAAGCATGGGCTAGCTGGATCCTTTGCTCAGGGACTTAAAATCAGTCTAAGGTCACAGTCTATTCTGAAGTTCAGGATTCTCTTCCAGGCTCACTGGATTTTGGCAGAAATTTCCTTGTAGTGCTATGACTAATAGCCTTGTTTCTTGTGCAGTTGGCTGTCTGCTCCTTGAGGCTGCCCTC